ACTACTCACTTTGCAAGAATTTTTTTTTTCTCCTATGTCCTATTTATTGAGCAGTATTAAAGACCAGTTGTAATAATTTACAGTCCATTTCCTCATAGGTTTTCTGAGGTATTCATCAGTATAGTATCTGAATGTATTTATTTCTTTCACACTTCTGTGAAACTTTATTAAATCATCCCTCTTTTTCAGATAGGTAGGGGGGCTGACACAAAAAAGCATCCACTAATTTTAGGTTCCTGTGGTGAGCCATTAGAACCCGATTTTACCTACGGCTACTTAAAATTATGTGGAACTTCAACTACTCAAAGCCTGGCTCTCACCAAGTATTGCAGTAGTTTGGTACTCCAACCCCAGGATATGAGAGCATACTGTTAGTAAACATCAATAGGCATTGTTTTAAAGTGATTAAATTAACCTCATGCTCAACCTTTGTGACAGCTGTAAGGATAAAATCCAGTTTTCCAGAATAGCATTCAGCTGCCTTAATTAAGAGATTCCCTTTTGTCTTCTTGCACTTTTTTATACATTCCTACGCAGCTTGCAAATTCATGAAACCAAATGCAAATAGAAGGATCCTAAGGACAAGAGCCTCAATTCATTCTTAGAACAGATTCTGCGCACAGAATGAAGCAGGGTCTGGGGGTGGGGAAAAGAGGCAGTCGCATGATTAAAGACCATAAGGTAGGGTGCCAACTTAAGGTCCCACCAAGCTCACTGCCCCAATTCTACTTCCTGACCTCAGCATGCCCCTATTATTCTTTCTGCATTGTGATCATGCTCCAGACTTCACCAAACCTCAACAAGAATATTAAGGAAAGCAATGAAAGACTTTTTCACTGCTTCTGCCAGCCTCGAGTGATCATTACAGAGCACCTGGCTTCACTCCGATAGCTCTGAGTCAGGCATCACAGTCACCCATTCCGTAGGCAGTAAGGAGGAAGGGAAATGCAATTTACCTGTTTCTCAATGCTTGGTCCACAGTATCTAAACAGGCAAATTTATCCTCTCAAAAACTTCACACGTGAGCACAGGTTTTGGAGATAGCACATCAGTAGTCTGGGCAAGAAGATGAGGAGAAAAGGGCCATTCTTGATGGCTTATGAAACAAGAGGAACAAATCTAAGCAAAAAACAAAACAAAACAACCCAAACCTATAATGCACACAGTTCAAAGGTTTCCACTTCTGGCAAGATCTTGGATATGTATCAGAAAATCTGCTTATTGCCAAGTTTCAAGTTCTGAACTACTGGAACACTATGACTGTACAAAGGAAATATCACTATAGGAAATCTTACACATATTTAGCATAAAAAAATGTTTCTGTAGCCTCAGTCTTTGAAAGAATGGCTTAAAATTTCTTTTTAAACCCACAAAACATCATAGACTGTATTAGATGCTAATGATTAATATAGTTATATATCATAATTATGCAAAGTTGTGCATCTCAATAAAAATATGATTATATAGCCACAAAAATAATTACTATGTTCGCATTGTGCCCATTGCAAAGAATAAAATGTTATGAGAACTACAACCTTTCACCAAAAAATCATGTGTTTCTAAAATGTAGGATTTTTTTCTCTATGCATATGGAAATTTAAGGGACTGGATTTTTACATACTGTTGTAAGCTATTCAGAAAACTAGGAAAAAGGAGAGGAAGGTGTAGTGGAAAACATCTTGCAAAGACATAACAACGTACAGCATTTAGCACAACCTGAACTCTCAAGAGCTTATACAGGCAACAAACCAAGACAGTATGATGAAGTTCAAACTCCCCAAACACAGCAGGGCTCCAATTTGGGCAACAGGAATTACAGTTTTAAAAAGCACAACACAAATATAATGTGATTGCCTGCTGTTACTTTCTCTCACGCTGTCTTTAGTGTTTACTTAATTTCAACCTTCAGAAAGTCACCTCATGGCTTTTGATCTCTCTGGCTTAGTCATTACAATCACAAAGACAACTGTATAGATTTGTCTGGGGTTTTTTCTTTCTCCATCTGCTATTTTATGGTGCCTAAAGTAGCCTTCGGATTAGCATGGTTTTATTTTTTTCATACACACTATAAAGCAATGAAATTAAAATAAATGCAATCCAGTTCCCTCCCTTTTTCTTCACCCACAATATTGCCTTTGACAGAGCTGCACACAATCTGCATGACAAAAACAAAAAACAGGCTCGACATAGAAGGACGACACTACTCTTTCAGGAATGCATAATCAATCCTGTAGAAATACTCTTTTCCATAAAGATAAATGGGAGGTCTTCATAAAACCAAACAAAACCACACAGATTTTTAAAAAACATACCTTAATCATGAAACATTTGGAAATATGCTGAATGTCACTCTATTCCACCAAAGTTCTGGTAGAATACTTTGGAAATTTTATTATGTTGCTAATACACTAATGCTACCATCATAATACTGATACTCTTATTGTTTCCATAGTTCTATGTGTTCTTGGATGGTCTTTCATTGCTTTTGTTAAACTCGGGTTACAAAGCTGTTGGGACAGAGACTTTTCCTTTGGTCATATTCAGAGTATCTACAGTACAATACAGTCTTGGTTTATACCTGGATGTCCAGATGCTGTAACAGAAATAAATTGCAACTACAAAAAGTTCATGTCTTTTTTTTTTAAGTTACACAGCACATTTTAAAGATTTATACTTGAGCTCCTCAGAGAGCACGCAGTTCATCACCTCTACTTTGCATGGATTTAAATTAAGGGGCTGGGATTTGTCCAAAGTTAGCAAACAATTCTCTGATGAAACCAGGAATATGACTTGGAAGTTCTTAGTTTCCTCTTCCTCTCTTGTAGCTCTCCTATACCATCCTTCCCCAGTTGCCAGGAACTGAGAGACAATGTAAAAATTCACCACTTCAGAATCACTAACTTCATGCAGAGCAAACCTAGCTTTGCCATTAGCCACTAACATGGTTCCTTCAGACATTACTGGCTAGCTACAAGAGTCTAGCCAAATCTTACTAAACATTTAAGAGTATAAGCAGTTGTCATCCGTAATGCCGCAGCCTTACTGCAGTTTTTTTTCAGCTGGAAGCTTACTGAACCTGTACTGAGAGTGAAGATAACACTTTCAATGCTATCGTAAAACTAAGAATCTGGTTATACTCAAATGGATGCTTCTGCCACCCAGAGCTGAAACATATATTCAGAGCTGTAATGGAATGGGAGATGATCATGTGTCAGTTCCACAACGTGACTATTATTTTAACACCTAGGACTACGAGTTCCAAAGAGTCCACCCAGTACACCTTATGGACCCCTTGGGAAGGTGTGAGAGGATCTTTTTACCAGAAAACCTATATAACTAAACAGCAGATAGTATCCTGGAACAGGAGCCGTGACACAATAGATACTCTTCACTATTTTAGTAAGGAAGTTTTAGTGCCAATAGAAAGGTTTTTAAATGAAACTGCAAGTGACTACATAGCCAAGGAAGCTTTTTTAACTCCTCAAGATGCTCTTGCTTTTAATCAGTGGCTAAAGATGCATGCGCAAGTTTATTTCAGCATGCTTTCCTCTCAATAGATCACGTGCCCACAAAGCAGGAAGAAACAAGATCTGGGAGTAGTCACCAGTCTGAAAAGTACTAAATATTGTCTTAGGAAGCCTAGCTATTTTCATAAGTAAGGATTACCTAAAGCTTTTTTTACCACTCTCACATACAAATGAATTGTGTTTCTTAATGTGATTTCATGAGGTGTTCAAATCCCTTTCTTTTACAAAATTACAAGTGCCTGAGGTCACCAGCATCCCATGCATTTCAAGTTGCTCAACTGTGCTGGGAACAATATTTTTTCTGGCAGATCTTCCATTAACTGATTATAGTTAATAATATAATCTGTTATAATAGATTAGTCAGTCTACTATAATAGATTACATGATTATACAGATTATATAAAAACTGTATAATCATATAGCTATTCTGTAGGAAAATAAATATCAAAGCCTTCAATGACAAAGTCTAAATATTTTTTGTGCTCTCTCGCAGATCTTATCCGTTATTAAATCTTAATCTTTTTCCCAATCTGTATCCAGTTCTGGGAGTCAAAGTTTCTATAAACTGCTCTCCTCGTACCAAAATAAATCATTAGTTTAATTAGTAAGACAACTTTAATCAGCGGCGTTCCGCTAACTTGTTTTGTAGTCATCCAACTACTTAAAGAGTGCTGCAAATAGCTTGGAGCCTGCACTGCAAGGAAATGCTGCCCACTACCATTAAGGGTCTTCGATGCATTAGCTCAACCTGAAGGATGACATGAAGCCCTAAAAAATGTTACCTCGTGTCTCAACATTTATCTGCTCCCCTGGACCTACTGCTTTAGTACCATCATGGGATAGTTAAAATAAAGTTCCTAAATACAGTCTTGTTCTGGAGAAATAATGGTGACAATCACAACAATGACAAAATCAAACAGAAAAAAATAAGCAACCCTTCTTCTAATTTCCCTGCAAATTGCTCCAAGCACCAGTCTATTTCCCTGCTCCACACCCACCCCACCCCCCACCTCCAGTTATTTGGCTTCTTTGTCTAAAAACGAGGAAAACCAACCCCATCATAGAGGACATATTTGTTCAAATGTTAAGCATTACATTCTACAAAACAGCAACATAAGCAAAATTGCATGTTATGGTAAGGAAAATACTTCAACACTCAGGGCATCTAATCTTAGCAGATTAGTGGACCTAGACCACAGAACACATGCTAGCCCTTGCCAGTTTTAAGACCGGAATGACTGAAGTCTGCCATTGTATGCTATCTTGATAGGAGGAAACCACCGCAGCTATTCATAATGTTGTTCAGTATTGTGCTCTCTACAGATTGCGGTAAAAAGGGAATGGGTCAAGCACTGTGGCCTCAAAGTGTCAAAAAGAAAACTATTATTTTCAAGTACTGACATTCATTATCGAAGTTAAAAAAAACAACCCACCCCCCAACTATTTTTTATCTGCATGTTCAATTCACTAAAGATTTTTTTATTCCGCAGTTTATAGAGACACTTCTGGGGAAGCCCATTCTAGAAATCGAAGAGGAATTCTTGAATTGGCCGGAGCCATTAGATGTACTACAGGACGATCTCCTTTTGCCTACCTACGTTATGGATGCTACTGTGGTCTGGGAGGAAGAGGATGGCCCAAGGACAGAGTAGACTGGTAAGAGTAACTATTTATCTGAGTAATTAAGTCTGAATGTATGCAGATGACAGAGTAAAAGGACTAAAAGATTAATTAGGCCTGTTTAATATCAGTGAGGGAACTGAGTTTAAACACACCTCTGACTCCCAAGAAACTCTAAAGCATTAAAATTGTGTTACTGTAGATCTACATGAGTCCTGCTTGCCTTTAACTCAAACTCTCATTGCATTCATATTGGATTCACAGTACAATTGAGTTTCTTTTCTGCTGTTTGGCCAAGGGCTGAAGAACTAAAGTCTTCTTGGAGAAGCTTTAAAGCTCAAACATTCAAGCTATCTATGAAAGTAAAGAATAATTTCAAAAATAATCACAATTGAAAAAATCTTTTGATTCTATTACCATCCATACCATTTCATTAGTATGTAAAATAATATAGAAATTTATTCAAAATTCAACCTGTTGAAAAATAATTTTTGAATAAAAGGAATTATGAATTGTTAGTAAAATAATTCTAAAACAGACTTTTGTATTTAGTACTAAGTCTCAGCATACTGACTACCATCAATTTAATTTATAATTGAACATTAGCTGACAGGAAGATGATTTTCTGGTTACAGTAGTTAAAGAAAGGTTTTCTATTTTCAAGTTTACCATTATAATGATACATTTCCCCACTAAATGTGACATCTCAAGTTCTGACTTATCAGACAGATACATTGTAAATTAAAATAAATGTCTGATACTTACATTTAGGGTAGAATATATGGAAAGTTCAAATCTGATTATTTTTTTTTTTAATAAAGATTCTAGGTGTGATTAGGCCTAAAACTTTTAAAATCTTTGCCTACATATGTCAAGTGTTTGGATGCACTATTTTAAAGACAATTTTGTAGGATGTAGTTGCTACTTTAATGACTAGCAGCACACACAAAAAAGAAGGGACTATTATTAATTCTGGTCATGTGTATACCTAAAGATAACGATGGAAAATCTGCAGTTTGCCAGTCTTTCATTTAGGCAATTTTTTCACGTTGTAAAAGTCCCACAATAGCAAGAAGTTGCTTCTGCGCAAAACACAGTTAGCTATTTGTGGTCTGGGTTTTAATAGCTACAGAATGTTAAGAACAAGCCAGAAGTGAGTGTACTTAATCTACTGCATTTGAACAGAATCAAGAATTGCACCAATTGAATGTAGAGACACCTTCTTACCAAGTGTGATTTCTTTAAGTTTTGAGCTACATTGTGGGCTGTTAGATTCAGAATTATGCCTGAAAACAAGTTAAGTGAAAATACAGAAATACTTAATCTGAACTAAGAACATCTATAACAGAATTACTCAAATAATACTTACTGCAATTTAGATTTTTGCCTGCCACTTATAAAAATAAATTTTCAAATGGAGACAATCATATATTGCTTTCACAAGATAAAATATAAAATCCTTAGGCATCTATTTTTATTTAAAATGCTTAAAAGAGGACAAAAGGAATTCTAAAGATTTGGGTAAACACATGAGGATAGACTGCACTATGGCAAAAGCAGCTGTATTTCCTGGTTTATTTACCTTAGTACTGCTACAAAGACTCACTATAGTTTTTTTATTTCTATGCATGAAATGGATGCATTGAGCTACTTCATGGCCACATGGTTTTCAGCTGTTAAGTACAGAAGGACTTTTAAATGGCAATTCATGTGGAATTACCAAGTAATTATTTAATAAGCATAGGAAAAAAAGTAATTGCAAGTGAGAGGTCACAGCATTAACTTTTTCTATTGCAGACAGAAATTCCCCAGGCAATCTAAACATCATGTGCCTACTATAATATGATGGATTTAGGCTACTAGGAAGAAACTGAATGAAGGCAAAGAGCTTGTGGATACATCCTGTTCTTCCATGGAGTAAAAAAAAAAAAAGAAAGATTATAGTTAGTTTGTAGCAAAAACTTACAAGCTATCGAGTTTCAGGTCCTTGTTACCTCCCTTACTTGCTATTCCGGGCTCCCAAAGACTCTACACCAGAAGAGCAATTCTTTTTTAAAGCATTACAATATGCCATTCTTACCAGTATCATTCAGTTCCACAATGTGGTAGAAAGTCTATGAAGTCATTGTCCCAATTATGACAAGAACAATTTTGAAATCATCATTTTGGACAATTTCCCAAATTTTCTCATGATACTGAAGAGTTTTAATTATATCATGCCATTAAACAGCACCCGTGCCTATTCGTTACTGAACATTTCACCTGCTCTCAGCTTTTCAGCCACCATCTAAGGACTTGGCTGTAAGATGATATTTTTGATAGTATGCTGCGGCCTAATAAATCTTCCTGTCCCTTCCCTGTTAGTAAATATTACAATAGCATCAATAACTGGCAGAAAAATAAACTATTCGTTATCTGACAGACTATTCTGGCATTTAATCTTTTTCTTGGAAGGGGCTAGGAGAAAGGCATACCCACATAAAAGTTTATTGTGTTTAAAAGTGAGGCAGCTTTAAGATTCCTTGTATTTTCATCTACAAGGAAGTTCAACTAGATCAATGTGTATCAGATGTTTTCCTCATCATTGATTACATCAAAGAGTAGTAATTTTTTCCAGTTGATCTATTAATCAATTACCCTGTTTGGACTCCTAGGCAGGTAACTGTTTGTACATTCACATATGTTGACTGTTTTATTATTTCATAGCCTGTAGAAAGATGCCAATAAAAACCGTCCAGATTATGTGACCATAAATCACCACAGTATGAATTAAAGCAAGCCTGTTTCTGTTACTCTCAGGTGCTGCTTTCACCATGACTGCTGCTATGGTAAGGCAGAACAAGCAGGTTGTCACCCTAAGGTAGAAAGTTACCACTGGGAATGTGAAGACAATACTGCTGTGTGTGGTGAGTGAACAGTTTCAGTTGGGTTTTTTTGGTTTGGTTTTTTTAACTTCTCCTGATTGTCTCACTGACTTTCTATAAAGACATTTTCTTAATTTAAAATTCTTATTTTACCATCCTTCTGTGACTTTTTTGCCAGGGTAAGCTGTGCCTCTAGAAAGCACAGCTATGCCAACCGAATGCAGTTTCTTCTTCTTAATCCCCACCTACTGACATACATAAGCAAAGAAAATTCTGATCTACAAGCTTCTTTCAGAAAACACTACCAAAAAACCCCCTTTTTACTTGGTACTTACATATGTTGAGGAACACATGCTATGCTATGCCCTGCAGGTCTCCAACTGGAGAGCAACTACAAACAGGAGGTGAAAAAATTACAACTGTTTAAAAAGGATCCTTTTTATACTTACCAGAAAATACTTCACACCATTTATAAGTTTATGATGGACAAGTTTTTGACATAATTACCACTGATCAGTTGCACAGCCCACTGCTAGAGACTGCAATTTATGAATGAATTCACAATAACAACTTACGGTTTCAAACACTGAGGTAATAAAATATTTTATGTTTATTTATGGAAGTAACATGTCCACAAGCCATAAAATATTAATTTGGAAATATTTACATCATTAGTGTACAAGTTGCAATAAATGGCTGACCACATCCTGATAAAATTTTGTTTGATTGCTCCGAAATACTAATGTAAATACTTACCATGCTGTAGTATAAGAGAAGGACAAAATATCTCAAAGAAACAAACAAAAAATGTTTAACAGGAGAAAGCAGCACTTCTTTTGTATTATTTGTTCACAACTCCTAAGGTTTTAGCAAATATTTTCCAATACAATTCAAAGACTTTTTGAAACTGTAACTTCTCACAAGTCCCCAAAATTTGCAGGGTTTTTTCTTGTGGTTGTTAGGTTTGGGGTTTTTTTTGTTTGGTTGGGTTTTTTTGTTTGGGGGGGTGTGTGTGTGGTTTGGGGTTTTTATTTGGTTGATTTGGTTTTTTCAATCAGTTGCTAGGTCAGTTACTTTGCATGTAGTTTTATGCTACTACCTAGAATGCAAATCAGCTTGAGATTTGGTTATTATTTGCACCACAAAAATGTGGACCCTTACATAAACTTGTTTACGAGTCTGAATTTCTGACTACCATAGTTCAACTTTTACTTTGCCCAAGTGTCTACCTCATGCAGAATCTCTACTTGCTAGTTTCCTCCTCTGCTGCAGAAGTACTAAGCGTCTTCTCTCTCAAACTATCTAATTAACTGTCAAGTTACAGTCCACCTGTATTTGGCTGTAAAGGTTCTGCTCCTGTTCCAGACCAGAAGCTGACAATATTTTAAAATACTGGCCAAGACAGTAGACATGTCATCAAGAAACAAAGCTGAAACAAAGTCTGTGGCATACCACAGAGAACATTAAGTTTGGAGCAATAACAAGAGAAGGAATGGTTCTCATGTTGTTTATGCTACTTATGCTATTGAGTAGTTCTTAGGGTAGCTAGTTGCAGTGTCAATACGTATAGATTAAGAACACTTCCATTTCATAGCAGAATTTGAGTTCATTCACAAAACTGAACACTTGTCCTGCTCCTAGACAAATCTCAAGCAGAGATTTGGCTAAGCCTTCAAAATGTTAAATACTCAGACAAAATATAATCAAGGATTCTTCAGTTTACAGACAGTTGCAGAGAGAAAAAACACATGTTTCTGGGTTGGCACAATAAAACCTAAATATATTGCTGTAGAAGAAAATGTTCATGCCAAGAAGAAACATTCATGCCAAGAAATCCGTTAAGTTACAACACTACAATTATAAAACAAATATGGCCAGACATGGATTTTATCCTACTTAAACACACTTTACCTAACTTCTTACTGAATGCCTTAATAAAAAAACTGGGCCATTTAAGCTGAACACGGAACATCTTCGCATCCCTTATTTCACATATGTAATTTTAATGCTACATCATTTACTGGATTAAAGCATATGTGAAATGTACAGTATCTTCCCAAACTCAAGTTTCACTAGAGTAACAGGGCGGGCAGGGAGGGTCACATACCACTTTCTAAAGAGGAACCAGTTATCAGAGTTCCTTTATTAAAGAACGTGAAGAAGAGTATTGAAGTCTTTATCCAATTATTATATTTTCACCTGCCAAGGTAGTTCCATTGATTATCAACTGTTGCTAAACCAAACCATGCTTGTATATTCTCTGATGCTGAGATGTCCTAGCATAGAGCTCTGTCTAAAGAACACGAAAGAACTGTAAGTCTTACTAAAGCTCCGTATAGTTCCTATTGCACTTGAAATGTAAGAGCCATTTATATGGCAAATATGGAATGTGAAGTAGCAATTCTTGGTATTCCATTTGGTATTTTTAATTACTTCAAACTAACATCAAATTTACTGTGTTTTCTTTCAGAATCTCTAGAAGACAAATGTCAAAAAATGGCATGCGAATGCGACCGTGAAGCTGCCAAATGTTTTTCTAAAGCTCCCTATCGTACAAAATACCTTTTGTGGCCAGATTTTATGTGTGGTGAGATTCAGCCTTTGTGTAGGTATTAGATATATAACATCAGCCTCTATGAAAAATCTGTATGTATTTAAATCTAAAATGACTTTTTTTTTTTTTGTCACAGCAGTGACAACAAATGATTTTCCCCTTTCTTGATCCTCCTTCCCACCACCTCAGCCTCTCCACCCCAGAATGGCCAAAGTAAACATTTACCTTCTTATTTACCTTCTACAGTGCATGGACTACAAGCAAGTTCATTAGTTGTATGTAAGCTTTTCTTGACTGAATAGGAATTTAAGTTTACCAGCTTAAGGAGTAACTGACTTAACAATATTTTTGTTCATATTTACATATTTTTCAGATTCATAATATCATTCACTGTAAACTTTTCATCTCCCCTCCAGTGGCTATAAGACACAAATCAAACTTTTCCACTAACATTTACCTTAACATGTGTTAACTCTGAACTGACCAGAAGAAATGCATGAAGTATTAAACATTTATTATGAAGCCTAATTTAACTTTCGCATCTCATTCACCTTAAGTTGTCCTATCTGTATTAAAAAAAAAAAAAAAGAAAGCCTCATATATTTTTTTTGTAGTATTTACTTTTTAAATACAGTTTTCTAAGAAGTTGTTCATTTGATATGGCTCAAGCTCCTTACTCTACGTACAACTGGAGTTTCCTGTAGGCACAGGGAGAAGTTCTACCCTTAAAACTTGCAAATGCAAACCATCACCAGGACAGATACATAAAAAAGTAGCAGTTACTGGGACCAACTGCCTTTCCCATAAGTGTTTGATGGTGGACAGCATGAGTTTGCAAAGTTCAGAAGCGTATATACCTCGTAAGGATGTAAAGATGGTTTTATCCAGGGTCACTTCATAGTTTTTTGAAACCTTTTAGGAAGAGAAATCAGTAACACGAATTGCTGAATAATACAATTTTTCATAACTGCTAATTTTAACAGTTTAAGAACCAGGAGTGTTTTATTTCTACTTTCACCCATCTCAACTTACTTAAAGATGCAGAATTACAGAACGAGTTTGCCCAAGTCAAAGCTAATGACAAATACTTCAATACCAAAAACAAAACAAAACCATCTCCTTACAAAGGATGATGATTTCAAAAGAGATCTTTAATCTTTAAAAATATTCATAAGTGAATTTAAAGTTCATATTAATGATACAACTAGAAAAAAAAAACAACACAAAACCAAAAAACCCCCTAAAAAACCAATGTAGAATGCAAGGGGACAAAGCTCTTGCAAAATCTAACTTTTGCTTCAAACAAATGGCAATCCTGTTTACACAAAAAAAACTTTCCAGTCAATATTCGCTCACAGATCTAGACAGACACATTATATTGCAGTAAGATGTAATTACAGTGTCAAGTCACTTTTCCAAAATAATCCTTTTTAAGAGATAACCCTGAATTTAAGAATTAGCAACAGACTTCAAAAAGAGATCATTAAAGAAGCTACTGATGAAGTTTAACTGATCTGAATAAAAAATTTTGAATAGCAATCACCACATTTTTCAAAAGACAAGAGAAATCAAGCAGTTTTTGCCTTCAACAGTGGGAATTTTAGAACAAACTCTACTGTGAGACTGTGCATTTAACAATGAACACTGGAGTACTTTCAATATCAAGCCTATCCAGGAAGACCTTTCCTTTGGCAAATTTGAGAAACACACTGCTGGTATGAAATGCTAAGTTTAAAAAAGTTAATAAATAAAAATTAAAATCACAGTAGCTGTTTCAGAAGACACTGATTTTAAGGCAGGCTTGAAAATAACCAGAATGCTCAAGACAGAATAAAGAAGTTTGATTTGATTACAAATAGTGTGACATGACTGTAAAAGTTTTACATGGCTAAATCAGGAATATAATTTATTTTCTTTTTTCAATAGAAAAATCCTTTTGGATAATAAAGCCCATCCTCAGATTTGGAATCAGCTGGCTTAAGACTAACTTACCTTAAGGCTTTTGTGTATGTTTAAGTTAACATAATCCACCACTTTCAGTGCCACATATATAGAGAAGAAAAGCAAAGCTTATTTTAAGTGTCCATTTTAAGAAGCTAAACAGCTCAAAAGTTCCAGTCACTGCACTTGTGTCTCCAGACGCCTTACTTCTTTAACCACAAGATCAATGTTTATAATTGGGTTAAAGTACAAGGCCCAGTAAAACAAACAATTGCAGACAAACTGAGGAATGAAAGGCCAAAAAATGGCAACAAAAAGACCCTGGGTTGAGACTTTCCAGAAATGTCTCCACATTCTGTGAGGAATAGTCCTGTGAAAAAGGAAAGGGAGAGGCTTAGAAGAACTTTCCGTTTTGTTTTTACCCTTTCTAAGAAAAGCTAATATGTACTGCAGCCTCAAATTATTTAGCTCTTACTCAGGTACCTGTAAAACATCATTTTGCACTCCAGAATACACCACCACTAGATTTCATATGAGGAAGCATTAGATCATTTTATTCAGATCACAAAGCACAGCAAGTTAAAGTGGTCAAATTCCAGGTATGTCATAGATTATTTCCACGTATTGTGTTCTCTTTCGAACATGTTCTGCCCCCTAGCAGCTGGCAGAGAAAATGAAAACCCAGTATACACCAAAACAAGAATTTCTTCTATGGAAGTTCTAAAAACTATCAATAAAAGATCACAGCAATTATGAAGTACTATTAGTATGCTTGAATTAAGGCTAAAGCAGGTGATCAAAATTTCTGTTTTGAGTTACTATCAGAAATAGTATCAGTGTAACTAAACTTATTTATGATCCTGAGGACCCATCCTTTAGTAACTGTAAACACATCATGACAAAATTCTTCGGTATGTAGTTCTCAGCTGACAGCTAATGCCAGTTACCATAAAAGGCAATTCTCCAGGTAAGAGTTAATATTTACCCAATGGTTAAGAACATGCTTATTACCATTACTGTATTTGCTACATCTGATCAGTAAAACCAATTATAACCCTTTCAAGTACTCACAGAAACAAAGACATTCGAGGGTGACTACTAGTGTATATGTGTGGATTCAGATTCACATGTTCTTATTAACCTCAGAGTTGTGGTTAGACACTGTAATTTCAGTGAGCAACTGTGAAATTCTAAGACTGTTACTTTCTATTTATAAGCCCATGTACTTCCTACGCTCTTCAACAAGCCCAGTAAGACTTACTTCAGTTCTCTTCTTGACCAGAGCCTCCAGAAGGAGAATAATTCCAGAACAGAGAGCAACATGGCATTTACAATTATAAATCTTGATGTCCAGTAGTGCACATCCAGCCAATCCCAAGCAAATTCAGCTATCAACTGGTATGGCAAAAATGAATACTTTACAATGAATTCTCTCCACTGTTTCCAAGAAGGATCTTTAAGGTCCTGTAAGTTATAATAAAAAGAGTGTTAATCAATTTCCTATTAAACAGACACAATATTGGCTTATTTCCACTACTCTTTTGTTTAAAAATTGTATTTTCATACATTGAAAGCAGTAATTTATCTGTCCTATACTTTCCAGTAAATAATACTATAACCCAGTAATTTCCATTACATTAGAATAAAGCATCCTAGACAGCCAGACCTTATGATGCCATTTGTTAAAATACAGGTATTTTGGGAGAACAGCCTTTGTGTAGTCATGTGAACTTCAGAAAAGTCATTTTCACAGATTTAAAGTCTTAGAAGTCTTAAATCAATCTTATTAAAGTTAACGGTCACAACACTGGTGATCATATACAGCAAAATCAAAGAACCACTTACTTTGTAAGACTTTTTTTTTAAACCGTATTGTAAAGAGATGAAATGGTTATAATTACATAGTGTGTTTTTATACTGCTAGTCTTAAAATGCTTATATCTAACGCAAGTAGCATATTTAATGTTTTGAACACTTACTAGTAGTTTTGTAACAGTATCTTCATACTTGTCATCTTGCATAGGGCAAATTGTGTGAATGAAAGGTAGGAAAGCTTCTGCATAATCAAACATATATAGGTATAACATACTAAGTCTTGGAGAACTCTTCAGTGCATACAGAAGAAAGAGTGATTTTCCTGGGTTTACTGCCTGAAAGGTATCAAATTATCAAGTTTCAAACAATGAAAAAATAAAATGAAAGGGACACGTCAGTTCTTAAGATTTTTCTGACAATTGTTTTTCAAAGGATCATTTTTCAAATACAACAGTTCATTAAACTGAGCAGTTTTTACAAGGGTAATTCTACTACCTTAATACTCTTCCTGGCTTTAAGAGAATTTTCTTTTAAAGATACTCTTTTAAAAATACTTAATACACATGACAGACTTCATATAAAATTTACCTTATATTCCCAAAGGTTTTGTGGTGGTTTAACGCCTAAAGTTTTTACACATTCCAGTTCTGCCATAATAGCTTTTCTATGGTTACCATTCTCTATACTGTAAGGCTCTTTTGTGAAATCCTCCTCTGTCAGTGTTAGAAGGAGTCTACAAAAGCAGAATAATTCAGAAGGTAAACAGTGCCTCTTCACCAAAAAGATATGACTAACAAATTAGCAGTTACATATGGAAACAATAAGCTACTGATAGAAGGTATCACCTTTTGGATTACATTCCATATCAAGTGTTCTGAATCAACTGCATCTCAGAGCCTGGGTTTTAAATATCCTTCTTTTCAATTTTTCTCTTGCCTGCTTTCAGCATGCAAATTTATCAGCTTGTTGGCTGTTACTGAACACAGTTCTTCAGTACTTCACAGATCTAGTCTGGTCTCCTGAAATCAAACCTAGAGCTTTTGGATGGAATGCAACAATGCATATAGCATATGCATATTTTCACAAGAAAGAAAAGGTGGGAGGGGTGGATAATATATTAGTAGACTTTTACTTTCAGTATCATTTCAGTCTGCATTATCAGCATTTAAAAATGTTCTTAGAAGATTTTCAGTTAGCTTGCTTAGTATCAGCTGCTAAGTAGATAGTACAGTCATTTCACAATAAGTGAAATGGAGTACAGTCATTTCACAATATACCATCCCTAATGAAAGCTATCTAGTAGTCCAATCAAATGACAGCTGTTCTTGACAATTAGGCCTCTCACCTTCCATTCACCTTCTCCAGTAAAAATCTTTCTTTATAGTGTGAAGCCCAGGGGCCCAGCTGCTCTAGCCAAAGTATCACTTCCTCAGCAGTCCATTTAGCAACAGGCTTGTGGACAAGATGGTCTTCTTCAAATTCTCTGCTACTCCAGTGATATCCAAGTAGAACTACCTATAGGTAAATTAAAAAAAAAAAAAAAAAAGAAAGAAAGAAAAAGAAAAAAACCCCACACACATTAGGGGCTTGACATGTAGAATCTTCCATTTTATGGACCCTAAAATATTCAGGTTATAAGTACCTTGAAGTTTTACCCAATCCGTCTAATTTCTGTTTGCTGTATAGTGCAATTGTAGTTCCTGACAGACAGCTATGAATGCTACCTTATTTACGCCGCCCAGCTGAAGTCTATTCTGTGCTGACAATCTTTTTTATGTGCATGTAATTTAAGTACATTTGATAGCATGCTTAATGTAGTAAATATGGAAAGCCAACCAGATGAAACTTACTGCTACACAAGTTAAAGCTGTCAGAACGCCTGAGAAAAACCCTCCTCCTCGAGGATTAATTCTTCCTGTGTTCGGAACTGTAGGGATTTGGTCATTCCCATATTTCTGGAAGGTTGCTAAGCTGCGTGCTACATCACTGTTTTGTTGAATATCTTCTTTTCTTTGTTCAATGGCATCAGAAAAGAGCTTTTCAATAACATCCCTAATGGGAAAAATATTTGTCATTGTACTATAACCACTGAGGTTTAACATTCAGAAAAGGGACAAATTTTTGGATTTTTGTTTTCCAGCCTCTACTAAAGACTGTCATCTTTGAAAGCAAGAAAACATTAGTTATTAATAATTAGTAAAGTTAAACTTAAGTCAATTACTTTCAAACAACATTTTTCCTTAGCTTCTAAAGACAGAGGAAGTTAAAATATCACATAAAAAATTAAAAATCCTTATTTCTTACATAAAACTAGAATTGTGTGTGCTACTGGCAAGCCTTGATCATTCAAAATGCTAAGCAAAAGACAACATAAAAGCCTACCATTAATCTTACCATCTATTTATTCAAATATTATTAACTTAAGATAAAGTATTATTAACACAAGAGCTTGTGGGTAATTCAAGACAGCAAATCAGTATTTCTAGCTTTGTTCTGCAGTAAGATCACATTTATTCCTATAAATAATTCCTATTACAGGAATAATTACACAATTATCGAATATCATTCTAACTGAGAATTATTAGGACACAACCACCTGTACTAAAAGGTGCAAGTGTCTCAATACTAAAAAAGGATCCCTCCTCTCCATTCCCAAAAAACTTCAGAAGGGAAAAAAAAACAAACCAACAAACAAACCCAAAAAAAAGCCAACCAACCCATGCAGAAAAATGTGCTTGAACAGTTCAGTACAAGTGCAGAACATGAAAGACTTCAGGATTTAAACGCCCTTGCGATGTTGAGATTATTAATAAACTACAAAAATGTGCAAACTCGACAAACCAGACAACTAATTTTAGAGGGTTTAGAAATCAAAAAGTGGCATAGTACACTCACCTGAGGAGGATGTTGACTTTGGGAAATCCTTCCCATTTTTCTCTGCATTCAGGGCATTCATTCTTCTTGGACGACACCCACCACAAGGCTAGGCAATGTCTACAGAAACTATGCCCACAGTTCAGGGTGGTGGGATTGACCAGCATGTCATAACAGCAGTGGCAAAGGAACTCGCTAACTGACACCCGCCGACCAATCTCAAGAGTAGCATGTGATTCAACTTTTGCCCTCTCCGTTTCACCTTGTAAAGTCTCATCTTCCTCCATTTTCTTTTATGCTTTATGCAAAAAAGAAATCTGTCTTAGATCTTCAAACCAGGTAAGGCATTACTTCTGCAAAGCAACAAGATAAACTTCATTAAGAAAAGTTACTATAGAAGTTTAGAATTGCAAGCAGTATAATTTAGCATTGTAAGTCTTTTGTTCCTCTGATGGTTTTAAACTTTTTAACTAATTTAGGTCTCCCCAAAATGAAACACCATCATCTACTTTTTCAACAACATATTAACTGCAAGCTACAATCAAAACCAGATTGTAGACGCAGACAGCCAGGCTCAATCTCCCTGTATTTTCTTTTCCTGTGTTACATAACACATGAAAGTGAAATGCAAAAACTCACTAACTATGATTCAATGACTTTTGACAGGATCCTTAATCAAGGTTTTAGTAAAAGGCACCAATCAAAAGAAATATCATCAGAAAATAACATCAGAGAACATAAAAATAAAACACCAGTATAATACAATGATCTAATTTACTGTTCTTTCCAATTATATGGAATATAACATTACTAAGAAAGGTCAATGCTAGACATTGCTGGGCAATAGTAAAAAAAACCAAAACAAACCTATTTGCTTGATGTTCCTACTATATTCTCTCAGATGGCTGTATCTAGTTTCTTAAGAAAAATACTGATCCAGATCACTTATCAGTCATGATATGTTAGAAGCTATCAAAAAACTATACAATTTTCTCCTCAAGCACTACCAAACCAAAATATGCTTACGCTCTCCACCACGTGGCTCCTCTTTACTACCAAGTTACCATCTTTGCATCCAGATCAAGCACAAAGAGGTAAGCATGCAAGTTGGTAAAGAATAAAAATTTTTAAAAAAACCCAAACAAAACAAGCAGTACAGAAACACAAACCAATAGCGCAACTAGGATCCTCAGACTGCTTAAAGACATGTCTTTTCCCAGCAAAGAAAAGATTGTTAGCTTTCTAAAAGAGAACCCTGAAACATCACTTAAAAGAGGTGAAATACAAACAAGGTTTTGCACCTAAGAACATTCTTCCAGTTTTCCTGTAAGAGAGCAGCAACAGAATTTCTGTGGGTGCAAAAATATTTCACCACTCAGTCTCTGCATCAAATAAGAGAAAGGTCAGAAGTACACAGCTTACTAGCTCAGCTCCTGCCTCGTCTTTCCAACTTCAGCCCGCTTCCTCCCCTCCGCGCTGCCAGCAAAACCAAGGCACCGAAGGTTCAGGCCTGCAGCGACGTAACGGTCGTTTCCTCCCCGCCAGGCAAGGCGGGGCCCATCTCCGAGGCGTCACCAACCCAGCCCTTCCTGCGCTCCCAGCAGCACAGGGGAGCCCAGCGAAACGTCAGACACCCCCAGGCAGGAGTCACAGGGGAAGCCTCCGCGGTACTCCGCAGCAGCCCGGCCTCAG